CCAGAGGCATTGCTTCCAGAATCTCCACAAAAGAGAGTTGTAACGGCCACTGAATTTAGAAAAGCCCAAAGCTGTGGCTTCCCATTTGGTCTTTAAATGTTTCCTTCTCCAGATGCAATTTACCAATTGAGTCATTTTTACCATAAACAATATTCCCAAGGAACAAACACCATTTCAATTGTTTCCTGGGAAACGAGTTAAAGTTAAGAATTCTGACCCAAAGGTCAGATTCTTATCAAAGGGGAAAGGGCTTAACTCTTTACCCCTAATATCCTATCTCCTATAAAACAAAAGTGATTAAGTTGTTTTTTTCTGACTTTTTAGAATCACAATTGCCTTCAGTGGAAGATCCTCTTGAAAATACAGTGTATCTGAGGGGAACAAACTGATTACTATGTGATAGCTGGGGCACCAGGCTGATGCATAACACGGTACTATATATATATATATTTTTTTTTTCTTTAACTGCCTTCCTTCTTCTAGTGTCATTTCCCTGACTCAACTCCTGTCAGAATGTGAAGAATGCTCTCGAAAATAATTCAGCCCCTATCTCTACATTCATTCTATCTTATCTAAATTGGTTTCTATGTTCCTTCCCTTCCTACTCTATAACCCCACAGCCAACAACCTACTTCCAGTATACTTTCCCTATAGATAAGGGAGACAGAAATAGCTAGGAGACACAAAGGAAACTTTTCTAAATGTAAAAATTACCTGAGTTATTAGTAAACAAACACACCTGCCACACTACTTTTACAACATAAGAGAAACAGGAAAATCCTAGAAGCCCTCAGGATCATGAGACTTTTTAAATTTTATGCAAAATGCAAAAGGAGAAGGAAAAAACCACAAATGTGAGAGAAATAAATCTTCCCTGGCAATATGGTTCAAATGCTGACTCTACCACTGTTATCTTGAGTAAATCATTACTTAACTTAAACCTCAGTTTTCATGTCTTTTGAATGGGGATAATTATAGTTCTCAGTTCTTAGGGTTCAGCTGAAAAGCAAATGAGATAATGCATGAAAGTGCTTAGCATAGTGCCTGGCCCAGAGCAAACTGCTTTGCTTATTATTGTTCCTGCTATTACAAAATACACCTAGAGTTTTCACTACCAGCTGTTGCTTTTGATTCCCAAGTTGCACGCCCCAGGCCATACCTCTAACCTCAGCTCTGCACTGAAGTCTCCATCAGCCTACTCATCAGTTCAACCTGGGTCAAAATATTAAATTCATCACAGCCAAGATAAACACTCCTTCCTATATTTCCATTAGGGAGCGCCTCTAGAATCCCTTGTGAGACCAAGCCAGAAACCTGGAGTCTTCCTAGATTTCTCCTTCTAGATTTTACCCCTACAGAATCCAATCCAGGTGTCCCATCCACCCAACTGCTTACATCCCTCTGGAATCTTCCTCTTTGCCTTTCCAGTGTTCATTGCCTTGACCAAGTCTTCATTACTTCCTGCCTGGGTGATTTTAATAGCTGCCCTGGTCTCTCTGCTTCCTGCAGGTTGATAATGCAGTCCAGAATGATCTTGCTATACTACTACCAGAATGACCTTTGTATAATGAAAACCAACTCACAGTTATTAACAACCACACCTAAAACAAAAGCAAACTAAGAGGACAGCTAGATCAGAAGTGAACCACAGAAATGAAGATCACATAGAGAGTTAGCAACAGGGGAGTGGGAGGAGGAGAAGGGGGGAGAAGGTACAGAAAATGATAGCATACATGGTAGGCAGAAAATAGATAGGGGGGAGGGCAAGAATAGTATGGGAAATATATAATCTAAAGAACTTGAGACACGTGGTCATAAACTAAAGGGGGGGAATGGTGGGGGAGGGGGTGTGCAGGGTGGAGGGGAATGAAGGGGGAGAACAGAACAACTGTAACTGCATAATCAATAAAATATATTTTAAAAAATTATGCACAAGTACAAATATACTTTTAAAACATACATGTTATAAAACATATTTACCAAATAAAAATCTTTACTTGTGAGAAAAACAAGTGAATGCAATGCAAATACTCATAATTTCTTTGAGCATCCCAATGGCTGTACTGTGTACCTTTCCCTCAACGCTCACTACCTGCAACCTCAGTCTCATTGTACGTACTACCTGTAGGTTTGTATCAGTTCTCTGATGTCATTATGATTTTATATATACCACGGCTCTCTCTGGGTAGAACCATCATTTGTCCTATCTAGCTATGTCCTTCCTTCTTCCTTTTCAAATTTCTTCTTCCTCTTACCCCTGACCCAGTTCTACCTGGCTACCTCCTTTGTGTTTGGTAAAACTCAAAATGTTAATGTCACTAACCCTGAAAGTTTTCCCCAACTCCATCACCTATCGCTCCAAGTTATTGGACTACAGGACACCGATAGAAACAGTTGAAAGAGTGAATTTCAGATTACTACTTGGAAAAAGAAGCATTTGGCCTTATGAAGAAAGTTAGCCAGTCAAGTAAGACTGCTCAGGATGTGGTGCCGCTGCACAGGCTTTGGTCTGCCCTTATGACAGCGATGCAAATGATCAGCAAGCAAGTTGACTTTCCACCACTGCTGCTCCCTCCTTTTCAAAGCAGACCCTTGTCACTTATGTCACTTTCTGGGAAGAGCCTTTTAGGTGTCCTTATCACCTTGGCGTTGGACACCTCTAATCTACTCAACAGAATGCTCCAAAATCCTGAATGGTTCCTCATTACCCTTGTAAAATCCAACTTCCTTTGATGTGACATTCAAAGCTTTCTCCAAGATCTGGATTCAACCTATCATTCTGGCCTTCGCTACGACTGCTCCACTGCTCAACCAAAAATGCGTAACTCACCTCTTCAGAACATGCACCACGTTTTTGCTTAGATGTTTCCTCCACCTAGAATGCCCTCCTACATAATTCTGGGTCCCAGTGGTATTGGAATCCCATCCATCTTTCAAGGAATGTACCCACTCCCACCTTCTGCTTTAGCAGTCCCTGATCTGCAGCTAAAATACAACCTTAAATTGTATCGCCTTTCACAGTTTAGAGAACACCAATGCACTTTATCGTCCTAGCAGCCCTCTTTATGCTGCTTTTACAAACTCATCCCAAGTACCCTGCTAAAATCACTGCAGCCAATGACAGAACAAGAGATTCAAATGTAGACAGTCAGTCGCACTCCAAATACCCTAAGCACAGACCACACCACAGATGCTGCCTTCAAAAGTTTCTACCTCCTGTGCTCCCAGAGTGCTTTCTAACTTCAATAGGACATTACTCCCAGTCCCACTTACTATTAGAGTTAATGTTATGTTTGGTGAAGGGACTATATCTTGTTCATCCCTGTATCCCGCAACGTTCTTTACATATAGCAGGTGATTAGCAATCAGGCTGCATTTAATTCATTGAGATGTTTTACTTTTCTTCAAGTTCCAAAATTAGTGCTGAAATCCAAAAGCCGAACAGGATAGAGGCTAGGAGTGTGGGCTCCTCTTCTCTGGGCTAGTTACTCAATACCTGTGTGCCAGAGTCTCATTTGTAAAATGGAGATAATTATGCCTTCCTCAAAGGGTTTTTGTGAGTATAAAATTAAGTAATGTACTTAAAACAACAACCAGGGCCTGACACACTTAATATATACCAGCTGCTAGTACACAGTCCGTTTTATGTCCTCCATGTGGTAGTACCTCAAAGGCCAAAAACTACTGATCTCAAAAAATAACTGCTCCAAATCACCAAGAGAAATTTAGATTATGGAAAGTGTAAATTAAGAATGCAAGGATGTGTACTGAATAAACTTTATAAAGATCTCCCTGAAATCTTTAATAGCTCAGTAGATAAAATTCCTAGATATCTGGGAAATTAACTTGTACTGAATGACTCTATATTATGTGAAATGACTAGATATTTCTATGTAGTAGAAGATTTACAAGTGAGATGAGTGTGAGAGATTACGTATGTGTGTCTTTGTATATACATATATAAATTTATTACTTCACCCTTAGTTTTGCAGTGACTAAGGTTTGTCAAAGCTAAGTACCAAATATTACTCAAACGCTTTAGCAATGAGAAGTGTGTGACTCTTTGTCCTGAACGCAAAGAACAAGCAGGGACCAATGTCATGAATCCCTCTTAGAGGGCTGCCTAAACTATATTCTTCAAAGAATTAAAAAATTTCCCAGCCCATTGTATAAATACACAAAGGCGTTTACTGACACTGATAAGTACACAGGAATAAACCAGCCAGCTGCTATGTCTAATCTCGACAACATACGGATGCACCACACCTCAGTGAGTTAGTTACACTGGCTCTTACTTAGCACAGACATGTTAAGCAGGCTGAAGGGGTGAAAGCCTTCATATGCAACAGTTCATTCCTCTACAGGCTCTCAGCTGCAATGAGAAGATTGATGAAGACATTTCTAAGATTCCTGTCAGATCAAAGCTGGCATCTCCACTGGGGGCCACCACGCACTGGGAGGGCAGAAGTGTGGCCGTGCGCATACATTAAGAGCCAAGGAAAGACTAAATTCTGGGCGCGGTTAAACCCGAAGCAATCAAATTAGTTGTAGGAGCTTAAGCCTGGAGCCAGGGCAGTTACGGAAAAAGGATGCAGACTGGGAGAGGCCGGCACGGATAGAGACCTTCGAACTCAGACCGGGAGCTCAGAAAGTGCTCTTCTTATCTGCCATGGTTATTGACCTAGGGAACAGGCACATTCACAGACAAGGGATCTGACCCTGAGTTAGTTGTGGCTTCCAGTTACCGTTCCCAAATTAAAAAGTTGCTGCAGGCCTTGAAACAACCTCAAGACAAGGATTCTCTCACAGATTCCCCATCGGATACCATCAGCCCTCTTCCCATCCCCCTCCGGCCGGTCCAAAACGGACAGAGGTGCAGCAGCGGTTGAAATAAGTTGGAATCTAGCCCCAGCCAGGCTGGCCGAGCCTGGGGATCTGCTCCGTCTTTGGACTCAACTGCGCCGAGCCAGACCCTAAGGAAAAATAGGTTCTGCACCCACCTTGGTGCTGGGGTCCGGGTCCGAGCAGCAATCGAGGGCAACCTGGTCAGTAAGGCCGCCAGATGCGGGCTGAGGCTCTGCCATGGCTGCTCTGCTGTATCACGGACTACGGTCCTCAAAACTCGGCAGGCGCCTACACTACGCCCAAACCCTGAGTTGCCTTTACCAATGACCACCTTGCGCGGGGGCGGGCGGCCGCTGCCTTCCAGCCAATAGCTGTACAGAGAGCAAGTCGGCTCTGTGCTAATTGAGTGCCAGTGAGTCGGCGCCTCCAGCCACAAAGCTCTGTGCCCCAAGACTACAACCCCCAAGATCCTTTTTGCCTAAAGGAGAACTACTTGAGGGGAGGAAATAACAAACAAAATCAAAAACAAAAAAAAAAGCTGCTGGCCGGAAAGAGTGGTTTCTCTGCTTGTTTGATACCTGGTTTTGTTTCTGTTTAACTGTTAAATTCAGTAAACACCCATACGTCAGGGCTGCAACTTGGTAGGAAATTGGAATCTGAGGGATACAGAATTGGGAGTTACTCTTTTTAAGGTGTAAGAATCCCAAAGTCTTTCTAAGTTCAAACCAGTAACTTCAACAGGATAAATAAAAACAATCAACTTACTCAAAAACCTAGGTTCACTATTTGGTTCCACTATTTGTTAGCTTGGAATAATAACTGATCCCTCTCAGCTTCCTTGCGAGATTTTGGTGAGGCTCAAATGGTTCCGCTACTTATGAGCCAAAAGTGTTTTACATAAATTTTGCTAAGGCACACATTTTAATTGTCTTCATTGGAAGACTTAGTCTTCACTGTTGTCAACTGATGGTTGTTGGTGCCAGTTCAATGCCAACAAGAACCCCAATTTGGGGTGCAGTGAAAAAAGAAACTTTATTCAGAGCCAAGAACTCAATTGCGGTACAGTATGGCTGACAGCAATGGAACAGCACTGATGTGCTGCAGCCCTGGGGCCAGGACCCTGTCTGGGTCTCCACTCTGCTTGGTTCCGTTCCCGCTCTGGGCTCCACAGACCTGGAAACACAGCCTACAACCTCCCTTATTCTTTGAAAAGGGAAACTGCACTCTCTGAGCTACAGGGGAGCTTACTTAATATAGACAGGAGTTTCTTCCTCTTTTCCCTGGTAGGTCCATCCTCATGCAAATGAGGACACCAATTCTCAAAGTTTGATTGGTCCAAAAAGCACTGTCCTGATAGGTCAGATTGGAGCCTCTCGTATTGGTCATTGAAGAGGCTGGTGGGAATATAGATTCACAGCTCCAACTAAACAGAAAACCTCAGTCCTGTTGCTTGAGGAACTCCTTCATAAGGGCTAGATCATGGCAGAAATACAATGCAGGTGGGCAGTTCAATGCAGGAGGCAGGCAGCTAGTGCAAGATTTTCCCTGAAGTCCAGTTTGTGTGAGAGATCCCTGTGTAGAAATGGCTGCCAGGCTCCGTTTTTTGTTTTGTTTTTAAAGATTTTATTTATTTAGTCCTGGCCGGTATGGCTCAGTGGATTGAGCACTGGCATGCGAATCAAAAGGCTGCCGATTTGATTCTTGGTCAGGGCCGGTGCCTGGGTTGCAGGCCAGATCTGCAGTTGGGAGCATTAAAGAGGCAACTGACCTCTCACATTGCTATTCCTCTCCCTCTCTTTCTCCTTCTCTTCCCCTCTCCCTAAAGCAAATATCTATAATCTTTTTTTTTAAAAAAGTTGCTAAACCAAGAAATTGAGGCAATACACAAACCCAAACACTGTGTATTACCACTGAATTTTTGCATTGCAAGCCCAGACAAAAGAAATTTGCCTGACCTATTTTATTTAAAAGACATCCTAAACTGGTTGTTTCTTTTTCTTCACACTCTAATCTCCCTGGTGGACTTCCTAGAATATGTGAGAGATAAACCAGGTGAATGGATAGGAAGACTCAGTTTCTTAAAATATTGATTTGTTTACAAATTATTAATGTAAAGCAATTCCAATAGAAATCTTATGGGTTTTCTATTAGCTAAATAAACTAATTCTAGATTCTATTTTTAGAGCCCCCAAAAGGCAAGTCACATTTAAAGAATAAAAAAGTAGGGGAACCCACTCTTCTGGATAATATTTAATAAATCGACAGTAACATAGTGTGATAATGGCACTGGTATATATCAATAAGTGGAAACTGTTTTAGGTGGGTGTAAGATTGGTTCAATGATCTCCACTTCCAGGTATTCATACTCTTGCGCTGTTTGGTAGCAGCTAGGAATGAACAGCCAGAGGGGAAATAAAGGCAAGGCCCTCGCCATAACAGTCGAACAAAGAACTTGACATAGGAGGCTAGAAGTGAAAGAAAGATATATTTCACCAATCAACTCAGCAGTCCTGTGCTCAGTTTGATAAGATTGCAGGGTGTCTTGAACATTACAAGCAAAATAGCACAGGAGGAGGAAAGAATTCGACCTTGAGACTGTCGTGAGAAAAGGGGATTCTGTAACCATCTTACTAAGATTGCAGCGCCACAGTGCAGTGATGTGGATTGCCCTGCCCTGGTGAATACCCAAGGCTCCACCCCTTACTATGTAATATATATATATCTCCCAGAGACGAACAATATATATATATATCCCAAATGAAAGAACAGATCAAAGCTCCAGAAAAAAATAAAACTAAGCCAAGGGTGTCAAACTCATTTTCACTGGGGGCTGCATCAGCCTCACAGTAGCCTTCAAAGGGCCGATGTAATTTTAGGACTGTATGAACGTAACTACTACTTAAGTAGGGGCAAGGAGCTCGGTGCGGACCATGTGGTTTTGGAGATACTATGTGGTATCTGCTGCCACCAGATAGCAACAAGGTGCTGGGCCAGATTCGGGCCTCTGGCTTTGTGTTTGCCACCTGTGAAATAAGTGATGAAAAGATAGCCGACCTATCAGATACATAGTTCAAAACACTATTAATCAGGATGCTCACAGAAATAGTTGAGTATGGTCGCAAAATAGAGGAAAGAGTGAAGGCTGTGAAAAGTGAATTAAAAGAAAATGCACAGGGAACCAACAGGGATGGGCAGGAAATCGGGACTTAAGTCAATGATTTGCACCAGAAGGAAGAAATAAACATCCAACCAGAACAGACTGAAGAAACCAGATTCAAAAATATGAGAGGCTTAGGAACCTCTGAGACAACTTTAAGCATTCCAATGTCCAAATCATAGGCCTTAAAGGCAAGAAGGGGCTGGATAAAAGTATTCCAAGTCATAAAAGGCAAGGACCTGCATCCAAGATTATCCAGCAAAGCTATCATTCAGAATGGAAGGGCAGATAAAGTGCTTCTCAGATAAGGTCAAGTTCAAGGAGTTATTCGTCACCAAGCCCTTATTATATGAAATGTTAAAAGGACTTATCTAAGAAAAAGAAGATAAAAAATTATGTACGGTAAAACTCATGTACGGACAACAAACTCATGACTATCAACAACTGAACCTAAAAAAATTAAGACTAAGCAAACAACTAGAATAGGAACAGAATCACAGAAATGGAGATCACATGGAGGGTTATAAGTGAGGAGGCGGAGAGGGGAGTATTCGGAAAAAGGTACAGGGAATAAGAAGCATAAATAGTAGGTACAAAATAAGGAGGTGAGTAAGAATAACAGAGGATATGTAGAAGCCAAGGAACTTACATGTATGACCCATGGACATGAACCAAGGAGGGGAATGCTGGTGGGAGGGGGGTGCAGGGCAGAGGTGTGCAGGTCAGAGGGGAATAAAGGGGGGGGGGAATGGGACAACTGTAATAGCAAAATAAAAAATATATATATATTTTAAAAAGTCATACAGACTTAAATTAATGGCTTAATGTCTTTGGTAAAAATCCCAAAGTTCCTAAAAACACCCACAAACACACACAGTCCTTCCTTTTCCCTTTTGCCCAGGCAGGGGTACTGTATCTCAGGGGGAAAAAAAAGAAGTCTGTTACTCAGCTAGCCTTGGGTTCTTCCCAATAATCTGTGCTTGGCTGGCAGGCCTCCTGTGTTTCCCAGCACCATCAGCTGTGTTTCAATCTCGTTGTTAATCCAAACCCATGTGGCACCTTCTCATGGCCCACCAATGAGAGTCCTTAAGCCATTTCCTTCCTGCAATGTCTTTCTTGAATTCTCCCAAACTGCTAAGAGAACTCTACATGGCTGCTACATTTTGCTTTCCTGCTTCCTAAGCCCTGTGGGTAAGGAAGCCTCCAAAGCCACATGGTCCGCACCAAAAACTGCGTGGTCCACCACATAGCTGCTCTACCTGGGTTTAAAGTCTGGTGAATCTTCCTCTGCATCCCCATTTCCGATGCCTCCCACAATCTGCTACGCCTTCCAGCATTCCTGTATTTTTCCAGCTCTTCTGGGCCGTCAGGCAGACGTGGCCCTGTGACATGCAGTGAACCATTTCCAAGCTCTCAGGCAGGTGTAACCAGGAGTTGCTTCCCGGTTATGTCATGGGTAGAAGTCACTCCCATCTCCCTAGCTCAAAGCAAGGCCACAGCTAGTTAACATATCTATGAAACTAGCCAGCTGTAATAGATATGTTGCATAACCATTTTTGCATATCAGGTATGAAGCTGGCCAACTGTTAACATGCAAAATAACTCTTAATGGCTTTGCTCCATGTGTCCCATCCCCCAGTGGGGATAAGGGTAGCTTATATTTTCATATTTCCTGGACACCCCAACTTCTGACCGTTATTTTAAATCCTTTGTTTGGTGTGGGGGGCCCTGGCTGCACCCTGTTGCAGTATCACATGGGAGGCCAGTTCTGCTCCCAGATCCCACTGGGCAACACTATAGGCCCAGATGCAGGCAGAGGATTGGGAGGCAGCTGAGGCAGCCAGGGCTAAGGGGTCAGCATCTTTTGTAGCAAGCAGTAAACAAGCTATCCCTCTCCTTTGGAACGTAAGCTCCTTAGCCACACTGTGGTTGCTGTCACCTACTTAATCGTCTCCACAATTGCTTGCTCAGGGTCAGGAACAGCTCAGGGTCAGGACAGTTAGGTGTTGCAGGTTGGCGTACTCTACAAGACGTGCAGGGGCCGCTGTGGGGCCAGAAACCTCCTCCCACTGTATAATCACTACTTGTTATTCCTTAGTGGGGATGCACGTGGTTCACTTAATGCACTTTTCTTGTGACTTTTTAAATAATAATTGTTGTT